TTTGCACGCCGGTGGGTTGTGGGGATTGTAAAAAAAAAAAAAAAAAAAAAAAAAAAAAAAAAAAAAAACAAAAACGTGAGGCCCAGCAGATGGTATAATGGTTATGTTGCTGGACTCTTATATAGTCAACCATGATTTGAGTCTCGGACATGGTGACTGTACTGATGCTGGGCAAGTGTGTATGTGTGCCCAAGATCCCAAGAGGAGAATAGAGAAGAAGGGATTGCAGTGTGGCCACCCCTGCAAGGGGTGGTTATTTCTTGCTTTATGTCTCTCTGTCTCTGTTTTTCTGGCAAACACCATGCCCTATAACAAAAACCTCTCTGAAAAACAAAACATACAACCTAGGTTTTCTTCTCAAAATAACAAGATTAGGCAAATTTTTTAAAAAAAATTTTCACCCAAGGTATATGGGTAATTGCTACATCTACTTAGAGAATTCTGCCAGTAGAGACTTAGATTTCAAAGTATTTGGCCTGGCTCCATGACCTGGTCATTGATGTCAGATCCCACATGGCCAATCTTATAGCTCAAATCCTGGACTAGAGATTGAGAAACCAGCAGAAATGTGTGTATCCCTGAACACATATTGTCAGTGAAGGACAAAGAATTGCAGTATGACCATTCTCCATAAAAGTTGCTTTCTTTCTCTGTCTGTGACATGCACCCTCTGGTAAATATTTAAAAATTAATTAAATTAGTAAAAGTAATGTACAATGAAATACTAAAAAAGTTCAAGAAAAGGTAGTTGAGATAACATAGATCAAAACTGGTCAAATTTGTGTATGTTTTTAAGAAATGCACCCAAAATCAGAGAATATTAACATAATCACCATTTTCATTTTATGTCTAATGATACAGATGCTGTGGCCTAATCCCTTTATGCAATACTCATGGTGAGGCCAAAAATTAGTTCTACATACTATCCTAACATGACTCATGGAAAGAACATTCTTTTAGAATTAACTGTACTTACACTGTTTGCAAAAATCCTGGAAGAAGGAACAGTGATCCAATTTTAAAACATGAGACCATTTTTGAAACCTATATTCTCAGGGTTTTCTAGCTGGTTTATAAATAAGTTTACATTTTAAATAAACACTAGATTATGAACCCAGCATCTGGTATCACGGTTAAGGTTCTGGACTCCCACATGGTTAATTGTGGTTCAAATAATGGACTGGTGGTTTGCTTTCTTACTTTACCTTTCTCTTGCTCTCTGTCTCTTTGGTGATTACATGTGCCCTATAGCAAACTTAAAAATAATAATAACGCTTAATAGAATAAAATGAATAATTTTAAAAAATAAACACTAAATTTATAAGTTGTATATAAAAATATCAAAATAGGACAAGTACATAAGACAAATTGGTTGAACAAAACAAGTTAATACAATATAAATACATAAAAATAAACATTGGAAAGTTTAGTTTTTATCTTATTTCCACTTGTATTAACAATAACAACATTTGATTTGCACTTTGAACAAGTTTGACATTAGCCATTCAAGAAGCAAATTGAAAAGTTAATATAAAAATATAGTTAATTACTAATCTCTTTAATGAGGCCAGCAAATTGTGTGGTGGTTAAGTCACTAGACTCTTGATTATGGTTCCAGTCCCAGATCTGGCAGTCCTTATTGTTCCAGTCCCAGATCTGTCAGTCCGTTTTCTTTCTCTCTCTCTCTCTCTCTCTCTCTCTCTCTCTCTCATGAGCACACATGCCCTTTAGCAAATTTAAAATAATGATAATATATAAGAGGAAATAAATAATTCTCTTTAAAAAATATATTTTGTGGGTTGAACCCATGGCCTGGTGATTAAGGCAGCTAGATTTTACATGGCTCAAGTCCCAGACCTGGAAGCCTAAGAAACATTCCAGGCATATGTGTATGCATGCAGGCCCAAAATCTAAAAAGGAAGGAGAAATGGAGAAGGGATTGCAGCCTGACCATTTCCCATTGGAAATGCTTTCTTCTCTTCTTTTCTCACTATTACTCTGTCTCTCTGTAAGGACACATTTCCACTAGGAAAAACAAAAAGTGAAAATACCTGTTAGAATTTAGAAGTTTCAATTTTTTATTTTGTCACAAACTGTTTATTGTATTGTCACATGACAATCACACTCTTATCAAAAGATGTCCAAAATAAAGATAAAGAACAAAATATATTTGTTCCCTTTTCAAAAGCTTTATTGCATCTAAATAGTATTCAAAAAGTGCACATATTTAATGTACATATTTGG